TGCCATCTCTTGCAGTTTAAAACGAAATCCTCAAAATTCTGAAAATGTAATAATTAAAAGAACAATCCAAACACCTAAAGCACTTTAGTTTTCTGAAATGTTTGTGTATGAAGAGTGTGTCCTCTGTTTCATTTTATAAAAAGCAGATTTTGATAGAAATTAGAACTTTTATTATAAATTAATTCTGTTACTCTCCCTGGCCAGTAACACTTTCTTTGTCAATAACACAACCTGGCCAGTCAGACAACCAATCCTGTTACTTCATAGTAGTTTAGCACAATTAAACCCATAAGGCTGGAAATTAAAGGGATCCTATAGTGCCAGGAAAACAAAGCTGTTTTCCTGGCACTATAGGGTTAATAGGTCCCTCCCACCCCCCTTGGCGCTAAAGGGGTTAAAACCTCTTGAGCCACTTACTAGAATCCAGTGCCGACGTCCCTCTGTGCTGGGTCAGGCTCTGCCTACATCCCTACCCCACGCGCATTAGACCTCCCTATATATTATTCAATGCTTTCCTTTGGGGAAATCTGATGCTGGACAGCCTCATGCAGAGCATCCACCCACTACAACTGCGAGAAGACCAATTCTCAGAACTTCTACAATGTTATGAGCTCCACAATACATGGAGAGAGTTCTGTGCAAAAACACGCAATTTTACCTAATTCTCAGCAGAACATTAGAAATATTCAAGGATAAATCTATGTATGGTCAATGCTACAGCCTTGCAAATATAAACTAATACCAAGATCGGCCTTAATACATGGTCAACCCCTGCACCCACTCTTACCACTTTTACCACACATTTGTCATCTTGGGGTCAGGGACTCTGGCATCTCAATGAACATCTTCTCACTGTGCCTACCATAGCAGACACTATCTTAGAAGCCCTTCTCCAATTCTTCAACAATAAACTTACTTCAGATACTTCCATACCCACAACTTGGCTGGTCCATAATGAAGCTATCCAGCTATTTCTCTCATACTGAAAAGTTTCTTCAATAAAATATAGCTTAACATGTTTCTAAATGTTTTCAACCCATAGTGTTCTTTCAATATCTATATTCATTAATTAGGATCAATAACAAAAAGTAGCTGATTTGCAATACATTAAATGTCCTGTAAGAAAATGTGTTCACTTTATATAAAGCTACTGGTTATGTTAGTTCATTATTACACACTAAACTAATACAGAAAATATGATTTCTACCTCAAAGATATTTGTTAAATTACTTATTGTAGTCTATTCATTTGTCACTACAAGTCAATGAATTAAACTATTTCTCGGCTGGTGTTTTTTTTAATAGCAATAAATGGCTCATTATCCTTTCTTGAACACATTTATGTTCTCAGTAATGTTGGCAAACAGACTAATGAATGTCATTGCACTGAGTGGCATCTTGTAATTGTTGAATTATTTTGATGCAATAATTAGCATGGGTTAGAACAGAGGCTATATTTTTCAAACTAACACTGAAAAACAAAGGGTAAAATCTTACCACCGATATTGAACAATTATACACTTGTTACACAAAAGTGTTCTTTGACATGCTCCATGAAACTAGACGATGTCTACATTTGTCAAATAGGTTTTTAAAGTTATAGAAAAAGCGTGATTTACAATGCTTTAAAATAATACTAATTTGTTATTGCTCTATAATCTACATTGATCCTCCAATATCATATCCATACATAGGATATATACAGTATTCCTATATAATTAAACAATATTATTTCAGAAAATGTTAATTTAATTAATATGAAATAATTCATATTTTATTATAACTGGAAAAATTAAAAAGCAGAAACTAGAGCAGTCTTTGCATGAGATATTTTGCCATAACAATGTATTAATTGTTGGTTTTCTGTTTATTTGTAATTAACATTGTGTCATGAAATAACATTTACATTTAAAACACATTTTCATTTTCTAAAATATTTAGCAAAATATTCATTTTAAGCTATGTCGAATGTATCAATCCAGCCTGAATTTATCTATGGAGTCTTATTAATGCAATATTCTGACTGAGCTAATTAATTTACACACAAATTAAAATTAATTTGATACATACGAGCTGAAGTGTATTTGCGCACAAGTCTATCGTGAAAGGTGGCCCTTTCCCAAGACCAACAAATTCAAACTAAATATATATGTGGTCTATTTTTTCTTTCCTTTGGTATAGTTTTCTAAATATTGTAGAAAAGGTAGATGTTTTGGAAGTGATAACAGAAGTAAAATTTACAAATAATGATGGTATGAATTACATTTTTTTTTTTAATGGAAGCACAGCATTGCAATTCTTTTCATTGTAACTGCTAACATTATTGTGGTTACTTTGAGTGGGATTCTATCTCAAGAGATAAAGTTAAATCTGGTAACTCAATTTCAGTTCTGATTGAATACTAGAATGGGAAAATTGGCATTCAACTGACCAAGCTATGATTATGTCTTATTATAGAAATGAGTCTTTTATGAGATATTTTCAGAACACAGTTTACAAAGATTGATACAGTGTAAAGTGTAATTTCTGTTCCACCTTTTAATGCTAAATTAGCAGTTCCTATTTTAAGTTTTTTTGAGAAGTGACTTCCCTTAAAATGAATCCTCTGCAATTAAATTGATCCACAAATAGTAGCGCACTGTGCAAATCATTTCATCTTTCATGCAGACACTAAATCTACTTGAGAAAAATGAAACTATATCTATTTGATTATTTAATGAATGATTCCAAAGAGTGAAGCGGTATCCACCCAGGCCAAAGTCATAAGTATGGTTTATTACTAAACGTTAACTTGGGAAAATAGGTCCTGGGTATGAATTAATAAATAAACCATGAGAATGCAAACATACTGTGCTACATTTCCTTTACCTCAATCATCAGCGTTTGTTCTTGTATACTAATTGTTTACTACAGAACCCAGTAAGTTTACCTAATTATTGTATTTAGAGTCTTTGGCATATGGTCTGCATTATACAATGTTTTATTTTGGAATTAAACAGTTATATAATGCTTATTTGTGCATAATTACTATTGACTCCTGTGCTGAGTATGGGCAACAAAATAAATTTTATATTTTCAATTTTTGTCACGAAAGCTAATTTTAAGCTTTTCTACTTATCTCCTGTTGTTGAAGATTAAAACAAAATCAGAAAAAAAACACTACTGGAACACAGAAGTGATAAAAATAGCACAATGTGCTAGGATGTTAAAAATAAAATTCCATAGGGTGTTTTAATGCACATAATAATCTATAAAATAAACTCTAGATC